GGGCCGGAAAGGCCCTGATTTAGCCTGAAACGACACAGGGCCTGTAGGCCCTCGTTTTCAGGCTTTCAGGCTGAAACGACRCAGGGCCTGTAGGCCCTTGTTTTCAGGCTTTTGGCCTGAAAACGTCACGGGCCTGGAAATGGCCCGTGCAGCCTGTTGCAGGCGCAGCATGTAACAATCCTTCTCTACATCTACGGTTGTTGGATCTGCTGACAAGGGAACTGGAGGATTGGCTGGCGGAAAGGAGACAGCAAGGAAACCATGCCTGCTGCTCCGACTGCTCAGCGGATTTAGAGGTTGCCAAGCAGCAGTTGCATGAGACAGAAGAGGCTCTGGATTCAATCCCTCTGTCGACGCAGGATTGCGACCTTGGTCACAGGTAACCAATTGTGTACACAACGGATGGGGGAAGCTGCAAGAGCTTAGAGTATTGTTGGCCAATTGGTGTGCTCTTTTGAAAACCCTACCGATGGAGGAAATGCTAGCGGCAGGTTGGGACGATGCCGTCGCAGATGGGGTGGATTGTTTCCCCCGCTGTCCTGTGGAAGGGTTGGAAGGTGAGATGCTGGAGGGGAAGAAGGGGTTAGGTGTTTGTTTTGTTCTGCCCCCAGCCTGCCTCGCTTGCCTTCTCCCCACCACCCTTCCTTGCTCTCGCTCTCTTTGCCACTGAGTGGACCAGATGGCCGCTGCCAAAACGATAACGGTACGGAATCAAGCTTCTCTAAGGTGGTGACGAGGTGAGAGACGGTTAACGGAGGCCTCAATTTTCAGACCACTTCTCAGGCCATTTATAACAAAACCCAACTGTCATTTTAACCAAACTTGCCACCAAAACAGCAAGGCAAAAGTGTGTCTTCATGCAAAATTCACTCTTTTTCAGTTTTCAGGATTTTCAAGATTTTTCAGGGCTAGCCAAAACAGTAGGCTCCTAGACACCAATAAAAAAAAATTGTAAAAAAACTTTAAAAACCTATACAACAGCAAGGCAAAAGTGTGTTTTCATGCAAAATTCACTCTTTTCAGTTTTCAGGATTTTCAGGATTTTTCAGGGCTAGCCAAAACAGTATGACTCCTAGACCCCTAGAAACACCAATATTGGACACAGACCTTGAACAAAAATAAAACAGGGCAAAAGAAAAAAACAGAAAAAACTTTAAAAAAATGATCTCCAATGCACTTTTCAGGGTTGAGGGGGTTAACCAGAGCTGAAAAGTCGGGGTCCCTGTTAACGGCTTATGGGCTAGATTGGATGAGGAGAAGGGATTTGGGAAACAGGACGAATCTGTGAGAACTGCTCCTGGTGATCACTTAAACCAGTCTCTGAAGGCCAGCTGGAAGTTCCTCTTGATGGGCCCTTCCCTGTCCTCCGTCCCTGGCCAGATCACCTTCCCCAGAGTTCTCTCCTTTGAATCACACAGCCAGTCTTTATGCCACCGAGCAATGGGGAGGGCTTATGCAAGTGAGGGTGGTGGGGGACAATGATAAAGGATACTATGTGTATGAACCAACCACGCCGGTGGCAAGACTGCAGTTTGACCCAGACGAATGGGAATGGCCCGGACACAAACCCATGAGCTTCTGGGAATACACGGTTGAAGGGGCCTAACGAGCCTCATGCCCGAACCTGCCCCTCGACCGAATTGTAACCCAAAGATGGGAACGGGACTCGCTGCTAGATGCACAGCTGACACATAATCTGTCGTGGGCCAACTACTCAAAGGTCATGCCAACAAACCTCAGATCCCTACAATGGCAGATATTGCATCGATGCCTCCCCACCCCCGACTGGTTGGTATCCAGGACGAACCTGGAACAGGAAGGATTGTTGTCCCCCATCTGCTCGTACTGTGGTAGAGCAACGCCGTCGGCCAGGGCAACAGTGGAACATTGCCTGCTGGCATGTCCAATGGTCACCCAAATATGGCAATGGTGGGACACAGCATTCCACTCCCTCATGGGGTATCACGTCCCTTGGGACGTGGGTCTTTTCCTCCTCGGCAAAAAACAGCATCTGCTGGCTCAATGGTCTCCCTACGCAGTCAATCTCTTCACCTACATGCGCCTTCACGTGCTAATGCTCACATGGCGAGCTGGGTGTGCTTTTGAAAGAAAAGACCATCAATTTGGCCTGCAACAAGCACAACAGACAATGGAAGATGAGATTCGAGCCTGAACACATGATTCATGGAAAGAAATGAAACGGACGTGCCGTGAGGAGAAGGACCAGGTAGCCAAGGAAACTATAGCTCTGACCTACCGCCAGCTGTGGCAGGATCCGCATAACAGATTTCAGAATTGACTGACTGCCTGGACATCCGGTGGAAACCATGGAGGACCGCAGAATCGATCCGGGAAAGGAGGCTGTTACATGCTGTACAGGCCCCAACCTGTTTCCCTACAGGGAAACTTCCAGGCTCTTGCCTGGAAGCTTCCTTCTGACAGGGCCTACAGGCCCCAGCCTAATTCCCTACAGGGAAACTTCCAGGCTCTTGCCTGGAAGCTTCCTTCTGACAGGGCCTACAGGCCCCAGCCTGTTTCCCTACAGGGAAACTTCCAGGCTCTTGCCTGGAAGCTTCCTTCTGACAGGGCCTACAGGCCCCAGCCTGT